GCAAAAATGTGTCAAAATGCGGCGCTTGGTGATTATTCTCACAAACCCTCGTCGGTTATGTAGTATATCAACGTAAACAGTTGAGAATGAAAATACGTGTGTAACAATAAATTGGATCTGTGCGGCTCTTAAAGTGACAGCAGGCTATATTCCTGCTGCTGACTGTGTGCTTAATATTAATTAAACATCAAAAGACAGACAAAATCACTCACTGCTCTTGACTGAAGGACTTATTCTGCTGTGGTATTGAGAATTGTGAAATTTCACTGGTTTCTCGAATGTAGATGCCATAGCAACATTATTTACAGAAAATATATATTTGATATATATCTTTAAACAAATCACTTGTATAAAGATTTGGGCATGTGGTCCACTTATAATCGTGTTAAATAATCGAGATTACAATATTGACCAAAATAATCGGGATTATGATTTGTGCCATAATCGAGCAGCCCTCATTGAATCGTTTTTTTTCTAATTAAGGTTTGAACGCATTGAAGACTTTAAAGCATCTGGCTGTCCCTTACCCTAGCCTCACTTCACTAGTATAATTACTGAGAACCACCTTAGCAACTGTCTAGCAGCTACCTAGCAAGGCCTATATCCCGCACACTATCAGATTTCTTCCACCCAGCCTTCAAACCACAGCATTTCTGTGTATACTTTCAACTTCAAATTTGTAAACCTTCAGGCAAGACTGGTCAGAACATTAAGTTGTTCTTGATGAACATTTGTAGTCTTAACCTGTTGTTGTTTTTTTTGTTTTCTTTTCTTCCCCTTTCCAGGTATAAAATGGGGGATGATGATGATGCTGGCTGGCTAAGTGTGTCTCCAGAGACGGGAGTGATTAAAGTCAGGAACCTTATGGATAGAGAATCTGTTTATGTCAAAGATGGCAAATACAGAGCTATCATTTTGGCCGTGGATGATGATGGTAATTTGTTTTTCTAGGTAGAAAGAATTCTTGCAGCATAGCCTTTTTCTAATATGTTTGTGCTTGTGTGCAGCAACATCTCCAGCGACTGGCACAGGAACCCTGATAATTGAATTGGAGAATGTAAATGACAACGCTCCTATTATTAATGAAAGGAATATAAAAATTTGTAATCGTGGATCAGCCCCAGTTCTTCTCTCTATAACGGACAAAGATGGACCTCCTTTTGGTGCACCCTTTAGCGTTGAGGCCCAAGGAGAAACCAGTAAAAACTGGTCCACCTCGATGAATGACACATGTGAGCAATTACAAATGTTTTAAGAAATTCAACTCATTCTTTCACATTAAAACGGCTGGATGTTTGATAGTGGCTACACGGCTAACTATTACAATGTGCCCATTTTAGCAACTGGTGTTTTTCTGCAACTCAAGTCAACATTGGAGCAAGGGGACTACAATGTAGTTCTGAGAGTTTATGATCAACATAGGCTGTATAAGGACAGCTCCATTCAAGCAACTGTGTGTGACTGCACAGGAGATGAATTCCGGTGTACTGACAAAGAGTTAGCGGGGATGACACTATCTGGAGTTCTTGGGATCCTGGGAGCAATCTTGGCTCTGCTGCGTATGTAGTTTCTTTCATGCGTTTTTATGTGTCCTGACTCCTGGCAGTCAAATCAAATGAGGCTAAAGAAATGAATTGTATCTGGTTTATTTGGTTGTCATAGTCAATGCAGTGGGCATACAGTAACTGTGTGCTGTCTATACTGCTCATTTTAGCAAATGTAGTTGGTCTCCCAGGTGTTGTGTGTATACAGATGGTTGGTGTATATAAACTATACTGCAGAAATGGAGTCATATGCTAGTATGCTATTCCAAACATATTCAATGTTTGAACTGAACTCCTTCCTTAAGATCAAGAGCAGTCTGGTTTTCTGTCTTTGTTCCATTGTTTATTCCTTATTACTACTGATTTTTCTTTAAAGTTTGCTATTGTAAGTTACGTTGTGTTCCTTGTACCACAGTGCTCGTTCTTCTTCTGCTTTTGTTCCTGAGGAGGAAAAGCAGTACCAAAAAAGAACCCCTCCTTCCTGAAGATGATGTAAGAGACGACATCTACTATTATGATGAGGAAGGCGGTGGAGAAGACGATCAGGTTGGTTGTAATTTCAGTTTTTGATGGCTGAATTCATAATGTTTGGTGAAATTTGAAACTAAATATTGACAGTCAAGCATCCTGTTATTTGGTGTTACTTGATTCTTTTATTGCAGGAAAATCTTGCCTGCAGCACTCAAGCATCATGTACAACACTGTCTTTTTGCAGTATAAACATTTCTGAAGCTTTGTGAACTATTTGGTATGGAGTTCCTTGGTCCGTAACAAGGCATAGCTATCTTATAAATATGCTTTGTGGTTTGGTTTCCATGTAAACGTGACATTCAGATGTCAATGGTCCGAACCTGTGTGCAGTTACATTTGTAGTAGCTTGCAATGACTTAATGTTGATAGCTTGATATTTGGGGGGCGGGGGAGGGGTGTGACTTGAGACTATATGCTGACCTTCTGCATGCTTTGTAGTAGTTGGTTTCCTCTTTGCAGTTCTTTCATATCAAACACCCTCTCTGCACAGGATTTTGATTCGAGTGTGTTGCATTGTGGCTTGGACAACAGACCTGAAGTGTTCCGAAATGATGTGGCGCCCACTTTCCTGTCAGCACCTCAGTATAGACCACGACCAACCAATCCTGAGGAGATTGGGACATTCATTGATGATGTAAGTGATCTGTTACTGTCTTAAAGGATTAGTTCACCTCCAGAATAAAAATTTCCCAATAATTTACTCACCCCCATGTCATCCAAGATGTTCATGATTTTTCCAGAAAAATCCTGGAATGTTTTCCTCAAAAACCTTAATTTCTTTTC